AAAAAAAAAAAAAAAAAAAAAAAAAAAAAAAAAAAAAAAAAAAAAAAAAGCTAGATATATTTTTTAAAATAGTGAGCTCTTTATTTACTCTCTCTCTTCCTCCCTTCCTTTTGCCCTAATTCACAGGGGAGGCTAGATTTTTTTTTTCTCTCAATTTCCTCTCTGCCCCTTGTGCTCCATTTTGCCATAATGTACGGATTTGGAGTTATAACCCATGTATTTCATCTTTTTCTTCCTTTTGTATTCCATTTTTGTCCGGCATCTGATGTGCTCCATTTTGCCAAAAGTTCTTAATCGAGGTTAGCATTCACATGTGTGTTTAATCTATTGAGCATAGTTTAATATTTGTGCCCTGAAGGAGGAGTACATAATACCCTACATTTTAAAACAAGAATGAGCAGAGTGGATTTGCATCCAGGTTTCTCATTTCTTAAACATTTGGATTGATACTTCTTCCTTTTTGTTCTAGGGTTTAGGGTTTCTCTATGTTTTGATGTTTGGTTCTCTCTGGTTTTGGCCCTTCATTTTCTCAATTAATTTGGATATTCAGTTTGAGATGATGCTTCTGATTTCTAGCATTTTGATTAATTTAAGAGATTTAGTTAAATTGAGGGGTGTAATTCTCACATAATTTTGTTGTTGTTTATTTTCCTTGTATAATTTGTTTCACTCATGGCACCAACTTGGGGAGCTAAGGCTCTGTTTCAACTTTGTGAGTTATACTTTACATCTTCCAATTTTGTGGGCATGATTTTTCCCATGTTTGTTTCAATATATCAGCATATCATCCTTACTAATTGAAGTTCTAAAGCTATACTTTTGACAAATTTAAACACTTTGTTTCTCTTAATTGGTCTAATTTGTCATCTTTCTCACTTTCATTTTCTACTACTTGAGTGATGCTGTAATATTATGGTAGAACAAGAGGATGAACTTAAACTATTGAATGTACTACTTCCTCCGATCAGAGGACCAAATTAAAGTTGTATTATTTCTTACTGAACTATTTCATTTTAAAAGACTTTATTATTTAGTTATATCAATTATTTATTCATATAAATTTCAGGCATTTGGGGACAAATTTGTCTATATGATTAGATTGATTAATTGGAGTTTAAATATGCTTAATCTAGACAAACATATTGAACTAAACTCAGAATGCATGCATGATTAAAGCGATAACACTGAGGAGTGGAAGCATAATGGTGCCCCTAGAAAGCGTGTTGTCGGTGATTAGTATCAGAATGAAACTACACCTATTCATGAGGCTACAAAGCCTTCTATTTCCTTTCTTCCTTTTCTCCTTCTCATAGTTGTTACCCTCACTGTTCTAGTAAAAAGGCCGTTTGTGTAGGGGGATTATATATGCATTGTAACTTGCTACTGTGAAGGTGGAGACATGTAAGTGATGTTTATTTAAATTTTCCATCATTTTGGAGTTTGCTTCATTTATGACCTTGAATGGTTGTTTATTTTTAGATTGAATAAAAAAAATACCCAACCTTTGTAACAATGTCTTTCAATTTTCCCTCCAAAGAATTATAACTAAGTGAAGAACAAAAGTTAGAACATTTTGTGGAAGTTCAATATGGATTGAATCGATAAACTAGTTTTCTAGATGTAGTGAAGGGGACAAAGGGATGGGAAGAAAACTCAAGCCTAATCCTATGCCGTGTTTTCTTTTGTTGAGTAGGTCTGAATTGATAGAAAATGTCAGAGGAACATACTTTCTTGAGTAAGTTCGTAACCGTGATTATCTTTTTCTGATTGTCAATTTTTTTTTATCTCAGAAAGTTTGCAAATGGTTGGCATAGTTGTTAACTAGCTAAGCGGTAGTTTATCTGCACTCCAATCGGATGCTACAAAAAGATCTTAAGGTACCTATAATGTATTAACATACCCAACTCATTAATTGTCCTTGATTTTTTTGTTTTTTCAAATTTTCTTCTATTCTAGTGTTCCAATATGTTTCTTGCGAAGAGCAATGATGTCCGGCTTGGTACGATGGCTTCCATTTTTTACCGGATGGAATTTCTTTACTAGTTATTTCTGTTAATATCTTGAATTTCTGCACAGGGGACTTTAGACTTGCAAAACTACTCAATACAAAAGACCTTGCTTCATCATCATCGGTAAGGATGCAATCATTGTCTTGTCATAATTTCTGAAATTATGTGGGGATAATTTTCCTGAATGGATCTTTTTCTCCGCTTATGTTTCTTTTCTTTTTATTCTTTGTTGATCATTATTGTTGTGTTGTTCTATAATTTAAAATGATGATACATGTGATGGAAGAATGATAAGTTACTTTTTGTTTGTTTTAACATTAATGGTAATTCTGGAAATATCGGAGATGATGTTACTTGATATGATAGCTTTCCAGTGTGATGCATGGACGCTCCTTCTTTTCTCCAATTTAATAGACACATTGATGTACTTGGTTCTAGAACAACTGAATACCTTAAGCGCAATCTTTTCAATAACCAAAGCAGCCATCAGGACTTTATCAAAGACACAAAGACAGCTATTAGTAATAAGTTATAATTTGTGCCTATGATTTCATATTTTCCTGTTGCCTTGCAAGTGGAGCATAAACTAAGCAAATACTTATTTTGCAGCAGAGGTTTTTAAACATGCAGAATATATTAAAGAAGAGAGAGGCCAGCAGAAAGATGTCGGGTCAACTGCTGTCCTATTACGGGATCGTCTCTTTGTTGCTAATGTTGAATAGTCCAGAGTAGTTGCATCTAGAGTTGGTTCAGGTTGCCTATTATTTTTTTTCTGTCAATAGATGATTCTGGGATAGAGGACTTGTACTTCAAAGTCGTGACATGATAACGTTTCCTTGAAAATCATTGCAAGTAGTGGAGAATATTTTATCTTGTATAGTTTGTATAACTTTATTTTAAGAAATGATGGAATACTATTATTGTAATGGAAATAGATTATGAAATCTCAATTATGAATAATGGAAGTCATGGTATTTAATGTGCTATGAGTATTTGATGTGTTTATTTAGTATTTGAATTAAATTTTATTGAAAAATGTTGTTAAAGTTGGATGATGGTAACTATAATGATTATAAATGAATAATTAATTTATTATAGCATTAATTTAAAGTTATATATAGCTTCAATAAAACGCTATAAAATATTTTTATAGCAACGTTTATAAGCTATAAATTTATACTCTATTATAGCATCTATTATAGCTATAAAAAAAATGCTATCAAACGTCATTCTATTATAGCATTTATTATAGCTATAAAAAAACGCTATAAAAAGTCTCAGACTTTTAATAACATGGGCTGTCACGACGTACGAAAAACGCTATAAAAAGTCTATGATAGCATTTTTTGTAAGCTATCGTATCTATTATTTGTTGTAGTGAAGGAAAAGGGGATGTTTGCATATAAACTCCGGCAGGTGGATATTAAAGGATGTCAAATATATTTATAGTCTCAAGAAGAACCTGATCTCTATTGGTCAGTTGGATGGCACAAGTTATGCAACAAAGTTTGGTAAGAGTTCGTGAAAGATTGTGAAGGGTGCTATGGTGGTAGCACGTGGCACAAAGTCTGGAACTTTATACACCACTGCAGAGGGTATGAACAGAGTTGCTGTTGCTGAGAGTGTTTCAAATTCAAGTATATGGCACAATAGACTTGGACATATGAGCGTTAAAGGAATGAAGATGTCGGAAGAAGTTTTTGGAAGGTCTGAAATCTGTTGATATGAGTCCTTATGAGAACTGCGTTATGAGCAAACAGAAACGAGTTAGCTTCACAAAGACTACCAGAGAATTGGAGGAAAGTACCGGGACAACGAAGCAAGTGGAAGTTGAGGTTGAGTTGCAGAACCATTCATAAAGTGATGTCGTAGCAGATACTCAAGAAACTCCTAAGACTGTTGCTGAGAAACCAGAGGTAGAAGCAAGTCGGAGTTGAGGTTGAGTTGCTGAAAGATTCACATAGTGATGTTGTAGCGGATACTGAAGAAACTTCTGAGACTCTTATTGAGGAACCAGTGGTGAAGCAAGTTGGAGTTGAGGTTGAGTTGCTTAAAGAATTACCTAGTGATGTTGTAGCTGATACTCAAGAAACTATTGAGCCTGTTGCTGAAGAACCAGAAGATGAGCAAGTGACACCTGAGCATGTGTTGAAAAGATCATCCAGAGCTATTAGATTACCAGATAGGTATGTACCTTCTTTACACTATCGGTTGGTGACTGATGAAGGGAAACGAAAGCCCCTTGATGAGGCCCTACAGTTGAATGATACAACTAAGTGGGAGCAAGCCATGGATGATGGGATGTCTAGGCTTCAGAAATGCGTTGCTCTTTCATCTGCTGAGGCTGAGTACGTGGCATTAGCTGAAGCTGGAAAGGAGTTGATATGGATGACAGACTATCAAGAAGAATTAGATAAGAAGCAGCGCGAGAAGATTCTTCAGGTCGATAGTTAGAATGTCATGCAGTTGGCGAGGAACCCGGTCTATCATTCAAAACACAGAAGGCGATACTATTTCACTCGGAGGATAGTTGACGATGGTGATCTGTTTGGAGAAGACAAAGGGTGCAAGGAATCCAACAAACATTTTATGTTGATGTTGATTTGGTACAGATTGAGAATGAAATTCTTGGTTGATTGGATTATTCTCCAAGTGGGAGATTGTTGCAATTGGCTGGATCAATCTCCAAGTGGGAGATTGTTGGGATATGGAGCCTGATGCCTAGATCTAGTAGAGATATATTAGGAAGATATTTTGTTAAGGAATATATTTTAGATATTCGTAATCGGTTAGTATTTCATCTTAGGATTTGATTAGTAGTATATATTATCTTATTCTCAATATTTAGTTAGTTTACATGTTCTCCTTACTTTTAGTGTAATACTCTAAATTTCCACATATTCAAAGTCACTACTAGCGTCTCATGTTCATCTCTAATGCAGAAATATAACTCTTACACGAACATCATTTATAACTTAAACATAAAAAAAAACGCTTAAAACAACTTCTTCTCTGAAAAACACAGCCATGGTCTTACGTGTTTAAATATGAAATACTGAAATTTATAGAAAATAAAAATAAATACAAAATAATTTAAAACAACTTATTCTAACTTAAGACTAGGAATTTAAATATGAGTCTACCCTATGCACGTGCCACAGTCTGTTCTTGCGATGCCGTCAACCTTCGTACAAGTGCGTCTTGCCTTTACTTGAAAAAATGATGTGGCATACGGCTCGAATTTCAAAGAATACTCACTAAGTGGCATGATAATGCAAACACTTGCAATCATGATTTAAGGACCTATCTCTAATCATCATAAGGGTGACCTCCAGTCTCAGACAAATTGGATATGTAGTACTTCCCTACACACGACTCACACGTACGAATGTGAATCCCCAGGGCGTTCGCACACCCCCTGGACGCTCTAGTCAAGCTAATCTGTAGCGACGTCCAGAGGTCAGTAAAACCCCATAGTGTCATGCGCCTCATGAACACCCTTATCTGTGCGCATTCGCGCTCGTGCACATTCGCACTCATCATCGTACTGTGCGAGTCCGCACTCATCATCTCTAAGGGAAGTCCCTCTAAATCCATCATAACGTCTCTTCTGACACAACTCTCTAGTCTCATCCCTTTGTTACTCTAGGTAACACATACTCGTGGATATTTATATTAATATCATTTTCATGCTCTTAGGGTTGTGCCCTATGTCGATCTAACAACATGATGCAATATGACACTCATCATCATATAGCATGCTCGATATGAAAAATATCATCATATTAAGGTAAACATCACGCAATCATCATACTCATCATATTGCCATAAAGTGCATCAAGCATACCAAGTACGTCATTCATATAACATCATCACATCATTATCTAACATCATCAAGTATCATATAACATCATCTCATCATTATCTAATATCATCTAGTCATCATATAACATCATCACATTGTCGTTTAACGTCATCACGTCATCATATAACATTATTACATCATTATATAACATCATCACATCATCATCTAACGTCATCACATCATCATATAACAACATCACATCATCATATAACAACATCACATCATCATATAACATCATCGCATCACTATCTAACGTCATCACATCATCACATAACATAAAGCATAAATGACACGTGCAAGGGCCACTAGGCACGTGTCATCATACATAAGACAAGTCTTTCAACTGAGCCGATAGTAAGACCACTTACCTGATTAGCTTAGACTGGTATCACCAATTTATTAAGTTCGGTTTTGTTCTTTGTATTCAAGCCAACCTATATAAACCATGCATCAATTTAAATTTCAATTCTCTAAATTTTATAATGGTCCATGTGTTAAACTTCATGGGAGGATTAGAGACTTTTATGAATATTGAATATATATAATATATTTCATCATCTCCTTACTCTATATATTTACTCTCTCAAATTGTTTCGGTATTTATTTTAACTCTGCTCACAAAAATCTTCATTTTTCCTCTTCCTCGGTCTCTCTCTTCCTTTTTTTTGTATTTACTTTGTAATATATATATTCCTTTATTTCTCTCTAATTCTTTCCTTTCTTCTCAATTATTTTTTTCTTTTCCTCTCTCTTTAATTCTTTCCAGACCTCCCTGTTATTCTTTTTTCTTTTTTTTGTTCTGGCTAAATTAAAATGAGATCGGATTCTAAATAACTGTATAAAAATAATTGTATAAAAGAAAAGATTTCTTGGATTTTTCTCTTTCTAAAATCTGCCATTGTTTTCTTTCTGTTTGTTTGTTATTTTTTTCAGCTCATTTTGTGGTAGGAGGTGTTGGGGGAGAGATATTTGGAGAAGGTGGAGAGAATTCCATTATTTATTTATTTTTTAATTATTATTTACTTTATTTATTTAAAATTCTCTGATGGTTACATTTAGGTATTAATTGGTAGCTTGTATCTTATTTAAACATTTTGAACATTATTGAAGATCGCAGTTTTGATCCCGCCTCTCTTTCTCATTCTTAACACTTCCACTTTACTATTGATTTACTTGTGATTAAGGACTTAATTGTATGAGTTTTTATTTTGGCCAACACTTTTCATTTTCAACTTCGGCGTGACTCAACTCTTTCAAAGTAGTGGTGACCTATAATAATGTTTTCATCCAAAATTGTTAAAAAAATAAATTATTAGTAGTTTTGAAGAGAGCTTTTAAAATTCAACTATAAAATATGGAACCAGTGCAATATTTTAAAATTTTAGAGAAAAAAAAAACATATTTTTAGCATAAAGAAGCCATTAAAATATTACTTGCCTAAAAAAATAAATAGATAAACACGCAAAATCAAATCACCCAAACATAAAACATAAAGCGAACAAAAATTAGTAATAATTAATATGTTTGATATTTAAATTTTATAAATTTTAGTTGGAACATGGTGATAAGTATGATTTTTTTTTTAAAATAATTATATGAAAAAAATAACAATTCCAGCTCAATCCATGAATTTTAAACTTTATTTTGATTGCTCGAGTCACCGACTAATATTTTAAATTGGTTTAAAAGATTTTTTCAACTCAACCCGTACCTACCACTCCATAAAAATGGCATCATGTTGCTAGCCATAATACTTATAGTGAAAGGGTAAAATTTGCATAAATGTCATATTTAAGAGTTTTTCATCATTTATATCCATATGTATAACTTCGGGTTTATAGTCAAACCTACCTAACCTAAAAGTGTGTGTATATATATATATATATATATAAAAAGAAAAGAAGATAGGATTTGGGTTGTTCACCCTTCACCATTTTTTTTTTTTTTGGAGATATTTAAATATTAGATATATATTGTGTTTTTTTGCTTCCTAATTATACGTAGAGGTGATTATCCAAATCGAAAAATTTTATATCTTACATCAAAAAGTGGGATTAAGAGTCAAACATTTGATAGTTTATAAGTTGATAATGGGAGC